CATCGCTGTTGACTCGCTTGCATAGCGACCAGGATGGTAGGACTCGGCTAACTTCGGCTCACTTCGACTTCGCTCGGCGCATCACGGCTGGCGGGGGGGGAGGGGCGTCATCCATAGCTCAACATGTCACACTATTATATCCAATGAGCAACCTGACATGTACTCACACGAGTTGCAGTGCACTGATGTTGACGGTGGAATTTTTGAAAATGTATTATACTAGGTATAAATACCGATATTAGAAACAGTACGTAATACAAGGGTTGGATGAAAAGTAGTGGCAACACTGCTGTAACATGAAAGATGTGCGTCAGGTGGGACTAGCGCCGTCTGTAGCTAATAGCAAAAGTTCAGTTGAGGTAGTGCAGTGAGTGGCTCTGGTTGTGTTTCATTGAGTTGCATTGTGCATCGTCTTGAAGTGCAGGAGCCCAGGTCTAGCACCCTCACAACTTGTTTACGAAAGAAGAACGGCGCTCCTGGATAAAAATTGAAGTTGCACGAGCTCGTAGTGCACAGAACTGTTATCAGGGACTGCAAGAAGCATGTGGTGATGCTGCTTTGCCATATCGCACAGTGGCGCGAGGGGTGAAATTGTTCTGTGAAGGGAGGGATGCCATTCAGGACGACCCCAGGTTGACAGCCACACAGTTCAGCTTCTTGCTTCTTTGCCGAGCGTCGATGGGCTGCGCGGGAGTTAGTTGCTGAGGTAGGCGTATGTCACAAAACCGCGCTCCACATTCTGCACGATATTCTTGGATACCGCAAAATTTCAGTGCTTTGGGTACCCCATACAATGTCCGAGGTGCAACAGTGGCAACGTTATGCAATTGCACAGGACTTACTGGACCGGTACCAGAGGGAAGGTGACGACTTCCTTGGAAGGATCGTCACTCTGGACGAAACTTGGGCACGTTCATAAGAACCGCACTTAAAGCGACAATCAAATGAATGGAAGCATCCTGCCTCTCCTTGTCAAAAGAAAGTGCGCCCTACACAGAGTAATGTGAAGGCGATTTTCATTGTGGCATATGACATTGATGGAGTGATACTGCACCACACTGTACCTCAATGACAGACAGTAAACGCTGCCTACTACTGAAATTTCCTGCGGAATCATCTTCGTCCAGCACTCAGGAGAAAGCGACGACACTTGTTGGCAACGAACCCCATCATCCTTCATGACAATGCAAGGGCCCATACTGCTGACGCTATCACGGATCTACTTCGCCGCTGGTGATGGGAGATACTGCAACATCCGCCATATTCACCCAATAGGAGTCTGTGCGATTATGATCTCTTTGCCAAAATGAAAGAACCACTGCGAGGGACACGTTACAACACAAGAGAGGAGATTATTTGTGCTATAGGGCGGTTATTGCTGGACATCAACAGAAGTGGACGCGCTGATGGTGTACGACGCCTTCCACATATTTGGCAGAAGGTGGTACACGTGGGGGGCGATTATATCGAAGAAATGTAAGTGTGTTTACCTCAGGTAATAAGGTCATTTCAGAACTATAGAGGCATTGCCACCACGTTTTATCCGACCTATGTATCTGTGAGGGCACGCGGTAGCGTAGTTGGTTGAGGCACTATCCTACAAGCTGGAAGGTCGCACGTTCGAGCCCCGATGAAGTGGATTTTTTTTTAAATTACCTAATCCTCCCAGCAGCACCATGAACCTGAATTGGGCGGCCGGCGCGTAAGGCTGACAACCTTACCGCCATCTGTGAGCCGAATGTCTAGAGAAAATGTTGGATCCTCGAAGTCTCACAACCCTATGGGCCTTCACGGCCTGTTACAGGGATAGCTTTACCTCTACTTTTTTTTTATGTAATATCTTTCTTAGCAATTTTGGGACTGTACAGTGTAGCTCTATCTTGGAAACCATATGGACACATGTACATATACACTTTTTGCTTAGACTGATCGATACTATGACCTCCCAGGATATTGACCTTTGCTCCTAGGACACTGTATATATTAAAGTCTAAGTCTTATATACTTTGTTGGTCATCACATGTTGCACAAATTTCATCGCTTCTGGTTGCTGCCTCCACATCTGCATTATATAGTCATAAATATAACAAGTAAAGGCCCATAGGGTTGTGAGATGTTGAGGTTCCCACATTTTCTAGACAATCGGCTCACAGATGGCGTCAAGGTTGTCAGCCCTACGCGCCGGCCGCCCTTTACCCCAGGAAGATTCCTGATACTCATTTCTGTTAGAGGCTGAGCCCAATTCAGGTCCATAGTGCTGCTGGGAACTAATTAGTACCTTATGGAGAATTACACGTAATTTAATATCAGCACTCAATCACTCAGTTCTGAATAGGGAATAAACTCTAGTAAATGATCTAAAACACCTTGGCTTTGATTGATTCTATGTGATATCAAAGATTACAGCGACATATTTTATGCAAATTTATGCAACTAAAGGGGGAGTTCCATTGATTCAATGCACTAGTTTATATCTGTGAAAGAAATACATGTCCCAAGTCTTGTCTTTATTGATTATTATGTTAGAGTGCTCACACCATGCCTCCATTGAACCAAGACCTCACCATCGATTTCTGAGAACAAGGTAGAGGACAGGATGGAACACTGTGACACCCTTGCCTGCATTTCCTTTGGTGTCAACATTTCACTTTCAAACTTTGAATATTTGAAAGAAAAAGTTAATTAGCTTAATTAAGTTGATCAAGGACTGTAGCTTAGATAATTTAACAAGCCAGGGCATCGTGTAGTTATGAAAGGCTTTTTCAGCATCAAAAAATACAGCAGTTGTACCTGACTTGCATTAAGCAAGCATCTTTGCTCACTGTGAGTTCAAAATACTTCTAGAACAACTTTCACTCACACATAGTTTGCCTGTCATAGACAAGAAACTAACAGGACATAAATTTTGAGAAAATTTAGGAACCTCACCAGTCTTTGGTAATGTTATCATCTTTCTGGACAGCAGGAGTTCTAGTCAAGGGATAAAAAGTAATCAACACCTGGAGACAAGAGGCGAAACTAACTCCAAAAACCTGTAAAATCAGTCACACTTTAGTTAAACCCAAAACCCATGAAAAAAAACTATGAAGGGGGACACACCAAACACCATTTAAAAAACTGCGTAATAAAATTCCAATAACAACAAAGAACATAACAATCAATGTGGCAGCATAACAATAAAATTCAACCCATGAAGTGGGCAAACGTATCAATATTTGTGCCATTAAAACCAACAAACCGAAATCTTGCAATAATTATGCAATTTCTACATTGAAACATGTGAGATCACCAGATGAAAAACGAAAACTGAAGGCATCTCAAGAAATGTGCAAGGTAGAAAAAAGCTACAATAAACTATCTTGTAGCTTGCCAACTTCCTTGCTAATGATACAAATCCAAATAGGTGCACGTGTGAGCCAAACCTGTGTTTTCTGTTGGCTCAATTTACAAGACCTTAGCTTCCTTTCAAAGTATGCTGGGCTATTTTCGATTTCTCCATCCGAAGTTGTCCCAGGTTGTTTCTGTGTCCTTCACATGCACTCCCAGCAATCTGATGTGTTGGTACAGCACCTACCACTTACACAGAGTATACTATCCTCTATCCTGAATATCCCATGTCCTATCTAGCAGTTGTCAGTGCCACATAAAGGGAATGTTTAGTTCTGAAAACAGTTATTTCATTAGCGACTGGTGGACTACTGTTGTCTGGAGACAGGTATATGTAATGGACCCAACATAGATGTACAGAACTATTTGGCTTATTTTGGACTTTATTCATTGTCTGGTATATATATAAGACAAAAAGAAAACACATTTCATAGACTTGATCTGTCTGTCCTCAGGCAGATGGGGCAGGATAAGCCCACTTAGTTGGGCCCGTTAGAAAGAGCTAGTGTCAATCACTTATCTCCCACTGATGGAACCTGGTGTCGGGTGTTCATAGGCCGTTCTCTACTGACCGAGGTGGTCCAGTGATTGAGACTGGCTCTTTCTAATGGGCCCAACTGAGTAGGCTTATACTGCCCCATCCACCTGATGATGGAGACAGATCCAGTCTCTGAAACATTGCGGTTTTTTGTCTTCCACATACCAGAAGACAGACAGAGAGTCCAAAATAAGCCTAATAGTTCTGTACAGCATACACCATCATCACAATCCTTTCAAGCCAACATAGTTGGTCTTATATTTTATTATATGACATAAATACAGATTTTTTATGCCCTTTAACCAGAAGTGACATGAAAGATGACCAAGGTGTCAGTGTAACTGACAGTACTGTTCAGCAGTATGAAGATTTTGCAAAACTACAAGTTGTACATGAAGCATGTTATAGATTTCTGTTATATTTATAGCATTGTAGTGGATGATGTGGACGCAGGTGAGGAGCCTGAACCTGAACCTGAGGTGAACACAACAGAAACTCTGCCAGCATCCACAACAGACAACTCTACTGGAGCCAACAAGGAGGAGTCGGATGCTCGCATAAAACAAATCCAGGTACGGCCGCTAAGATGTAATCAGTTGTGCATATCTAGAAAGTTGAAACCTCTTAGCCCTCTATTCGGCCATTCTGGAAATCTTTACTGCATTCAGAAAATTTCTATGGCTTGTCCAACATCTACAAAAGACTACTGCTCAAGTGACATCACTGCAAAATATATCATGATAATACAGAGTACTAGGTATATTAGAGACTATAAATTAAATGCACTGGCAGCATGCTAAGATTCTGTAAACTGGCCTCTATAACAATATCATCAAATTTAGGTAACAGATTTTCTCTTACGTTATTTGCTGGTGCACTTTACTGAGCGACATAAACTTTTCTACATACATTGAAATTCTCGAAATGGCAGTAGCTTCACCAAATGTACTCACAATCAATTTTTATCCTAGGAATTACACTTTAATGAAGATCAACACAAGACTATCTGGCGTGTTTCTTCATTGGGCCCTGTCAGTCCCTGAACCCTGCCCTCCACTGCTTTGCTCTTCTAACCCCCCAACCACATGCCTGCGACCCATGCACATGGCTTCCCTCCCACTCTCCTTCATTCTCTTCCCCATTAATTCAGTTTTAATTTCTTGGGGTTGGGAGAGACTGAGTCTACTTGGTCTGACAGCCACCATTTGGCTTAATGTACAGCCTTGGATGACAAATGATGATGAGAATTTGGAGGGGAAACCGAAAGACTTATAGAAAACCAACCCCAGTGTCACTTTGTTCACCACAAATCCCACACGACCTGACCTTGTATTGAACCCAGGCCACCACCTGAGCTGTGGCACAGCCTTCTCTCCCCTATGTGCCCATACTTGTAGAAATCAGCCCTCAGAAGGACCACACCTAGCCACTCTCTGCTGTCTGATGTTGGTTGGCCTTGGTTCTCTCATGAAACCAATGGAAACTGCTGGCCTGGCTCCCATGCAACCCATGTCTTTGCAAGAGTCTCTGACCATTAAGATGGAGGCAGCATGTTCCATCAAAACCTCAGCTGACTTTCCATGGACTACACAGCATTATATCCTAGAAGACAGAACCTCAAATCCTACATTACTGTAACCACTTTATTGTACTGTATTCCATGAATTTTACTTTCTGCCTTGTCCGTGATTAATAACGAACCTATAAAGATAAAGTTGTCCATGTGTTTAATTAAGCACTATGCCATGAAGGTGTATGGGGAAGTGGATGTACAGATCCACATTTTCTTGACACAGCACTAGCTGGAGGTAAGTGGTCAGCTTCACGCTCCTGCCGCTTTACCCTAGGGGAAAGTGCCCCCGGTACCCATTGGATAGGAGACTGGACGGGTCACAGAACAAATGTGGGTGATATGGAGAAGAGAAAATTCTTAACCCTACCAGGACTCGAACTCCAACCCCTCAGTCGTCCAGCCTGTAGCTTGTCGCTATACTGACTACATTATCCCCACTCATAATAACTAACCTATTTATCTTAAAGTTTCTGAACTGCTAATCACTTCAATAACAGCAATGACCATAGTAAAATGATAAAACTGATAAACTGAGTTAATAGAATTAACCAAAATGTAAAACTTATATTGGAATTAAAAGAGAACTTCTTGCAGGTGGAGGCAGAAAGCCGTAAGAATGAATTTGCCAAACTCCTGGAAGAGCATGCACAAGTAATAAAAGAACTCAAACAGATGGAAGATGACCCACCTTCTGGAGCTGTTGCAGGACCTACAGAAGCATGATTATGTCAGATAAATGGTCCTTTACAACCAAAGAACTTCACACCATGTATCTTGGAAGGAGCAGATAACGAAGGATCAACTGGTGCTATCCGGATTAAAAGAATCATCAGTTTGCCAAAAGGACAACAGTGTGTGTAGTTCTATGGAAGAAGTTGCTCATTACATTCAAAAGACTGTTTCAGCCCACTTTCAGCAACTGATTTCTGATATGAACTTTGTACTCAGATACCATTAGTATTCAAGTGTAAGTGGGAGGGCATTGGTGTGGGTATATATAGAATATTTTGTGGTACAAATGTCTTCATTTATTCTGGTCCAGGTATAACATTTTCCACACAGACTGACAGGGAACATTCAAACTGGCAGCAATAAGATACTACACCATATTAGCCTCTTGCACTGGACTATCAAGTCTGACTATTGAGGCTAAATGATTTGATTCTGGGAAACATTGAGGTAAAATTGTGATCATCACATACCACAGCCTTTACATTTCAAGATGTCACCAATACATGGCTTTGGAACATTAACATCTGGATTTTAAGAAAACTGCCTTGTGGATTCCACATGTTTTAGTTAATAAACACAAATATTAACAAACGCCAAAAAAATGGAATACTACAAGTCCAAGTGACCACTGCAGGCAGACCATGTAGCCATTTAAATGCCAACACAAGAAATTAACAATAATAATAATTTGTTTGAACTCTTGTGTAACCAAATGTGGTACTTACATTCTTTTGTACAGTTTGCATATAATTATACAATATTTTACAACTAATTAGATATTCACTCACTGAATTATCCTCCACTTGTAACATAAAATTAAAGATGTTTTTCCTATAGATATTCTCATAATCCATGCATATTATTGCATTTTCAGTATCCAAAATGGAGATTCTTCTAAATCAGTATTCATATATCCTGTATAATTACCTTCAACAGTGCATGTTCAGATACATGACATATTTACTCTTAAAAATTATGTTATTCTGTGTATATATGTTAATTATTGCAGTCATTTGTTCCATTTCTCATTTAAAAAATAGACCTTTCATGACATGATCTCTGTATTACATAAAAGACAGCTATAAAAATTTAAATCCATTTCCAAAATCATATTAAAGAAGATATTTTTCCACTGTAAAAGATTCTCACTGTTATTCAGATCAATAATGTTCGATAATTCTGAAGCATACATATATTCTATCCTATACACAGTATCTCTGTAATTATGTAAGATTTGAGGCTTTCACGGCGGTGACTATGAAGAAAGCAGTCTTCTGGGATTTGACACCGACTTCATCTCTGTAATTTATCACGTGGATTTTCATAAACCTTTTGCTAATAACCTGGACTTACGCAGAATTGTGCAGCTACATTTTCAGCAATACCCTTTATTATACTATTTAGTAAAATTCATAAACTTACTTGTATTTTAAACTATTTTAAGTGTTGCTATAAACCAGTAAAATGTAAGCACTTCAAATGTGATGTGATCAAGAGAACTGGACCTAATATAAAACGTGAAGCTGTCAATGGGACATTGGTGCTATTGCCCAATGGTATATTTTTATATGTGTGATTGCAATAAGTATAAAAGGTGTGGTTTGCAATTTTAGTGCATTTAGGAAAGGAGATAAGGACAATGCACAACTTTGATGGGAAGAAACATAATTGTAATTTGAGACTTTCAGTTACAATTATGATGATGATTATTATAAAATTATGACAATATTTTGCAAAATTAGATTATAAAATTGTCAAAATCATCCCATTATGTTAACAAATAGGACTGTTCTATTATCTGTACATAGCATATAGTCTATACAATGTGTGTTAACTTTTATATGAAAAACTCTTATGTAACAAAATAAAAGTGTTATATTTGACAATTATATACACCAGAACTTAAAACAACAATTAATAAAGTGTAATTCATTACAACATAAAAATTAAAATCCCTGCTCAAATTACTGACAAACTTATTCAGTCATTTCCAACATTTCATTCAGAAAGTTAACACAGTTATAGAGTATCTGTTTAGAAGAGATTTTCAATACAGATTTTGAAGTGTAATATACAATCTTCTTTACTTAGGCCTTGAATAAACGAAACAAAATACATTCCAATACAGGCATTATTCAGAAACAGTCATCAGTTCTCCCACTGATGACACCATGGAAGACATTCTGCAATCATTCATGAGATCTACAGGAATAAATAAATTAATATATATGTATATATTAAGAGCAAAAATGCAGAGTGGGATTAGAGCATGGGAATTCTGAGCTGCTCCCTAGGGTGATGTAGTACAAACCTGGCATCTTCAGGAAGTCGTAAGTTTTTTGTTATTCTGTATAAAATAACAGTAGACTGATATCATAACTACAATAACTGTATACTAAAATGTACGCAATGTACAGAATGTCACAATTTATACTTTCAAAAGGCCTACAGTGCTTGTCAAGGTCAAAGGCATTTCCAATTTGTATTCCTATCATATCTTTATATTGTGCATCCTGTTGTGTCATAAATAAGATATATAAAGTATAGAATATACCGTTTACACAACAACAATCTGTATTCAAAACAAAGACGACACTACTGCATCAAAGATTATGTCTTAATCTTTGTTCTCTTGTTTTAATTTCTTATCTTTACTACTGTAATTTTAAACACAAATTTTATCTTAGGGTTTTAGCTTTAAATTTCGCCCAAGATTTGTTACACATCTACATTTGAATTTAATTTCAAAGGCACAATAAGGATCCTCATTCGATGAATAAAATGACAAGTGATTACAACTCAACAGCTCAGACTGGTGCATTGTATGCCTGATGATGACCCGTGAAAGGGTCAAAACATGTTGAGTCTCTAATAAACATCATAAAAGCAAATGTTGATGCAGTAGTGTCTTTGTTTTGAATATTTTATACTTTATATATCTTATTCCTATCATATGTGTCACCAACAATTCTAGTAAGTTCTTGTGAACAAATTGTTTCCCATAACATTTTAAACACGTGTTAAAATTTTCATACTATAAACAACCAGATCAAATGGAGGCCCAAGTCTCTTACTGGCACGCTCCAGTTTTGTCATTCATTTGACAATGCTGATAGTATCTAGATTAAGTAATGCCAAGGCACATTCCTCATTATCAAAATGTCTATACAATTAAGCAACAATTTCTTTACCTTTCACATCTAATTCAACTTCAACTTTGCTCCTACTTCTTCAAGCAACAGTACATCATGAGCAAAACCTGACACCATAAAGAGAGCCAGTAATAATTTCACAATTTGGAGTTTTGCAAATGAATATTACATTCAAATTCCTTCACTGAAAATCCTGAACCTTCACAAAAATTCATAATTTTTGTCATGATACTGCTTTTTTTGGGATTCCTACACCCCTCCTCTTCTAAAATGTTGCACAATGCGCCTCCAAGTTTGTCTGTAAAATATACTTTGTTGTAACTGTCATAGAGAATATGACCCCCCCCCCTTGCAGAAAGTAGCATAATTTCACGACCAACAGTGATGCACACAACACAACCCTCATTATTTAAATTGTGGTTCCTTTGTGAGAACATGCTTCTTTCGTTCTGTCTCTTCTGCGTTTGGAACTGAACCACTTCAATCCAGCAGACAACCTCAACCTTGTTTCTTTAACATCCACTTTAATCTGTCTACACCTAGATCCCCAAAACAATCATCTCTTCATATTTTTTTATTAAAATGTTATATTCATTTTTCATTTCCCCTATGCATGCTACATGCCCTGTCCATTTCATCCTCTCTGATTTATTGGTCTTAGGAATATTTAGTGAAGAATGAAAAAAAAAGAAGATATTTCTCATTATAATAACAGGAAAACAAGATGATACAAGACAAACATATGTATAGCATAGGCCAGCTACACTACAGAACTGAATCTTATGTAAAAGCGATCTAAGGATTAGCTAATATGAACTTATAAAGACAGCACATTGTATAACTGACCTGATATGACTGCAGGAGTGCTTGCCTATATAATTCAGGAAACATAAGAAGAGTATTTTATTGCTAGTAAAAATTTATGCACGCTCTCCTTGGATCTGTCTACTGAGCAGCATAATTTTGTGGCTAAGTTTAGTATTACGATCTTTCAGATAACGAATCAAATCTGCCTGCTTCTCTAAGAGATCATGGATGTGATCACCACGTTCCCTGGAAATAAGAACAAGGGTTCTGCAACACATTTCATGAGTGATATGTATATTTTAAGATGGACTCAGACATTTTAATATGAATTTGAAATCAATCAATATGAAAGTTCCATCATCAACTAAAGAAATGTCTCCCAAACATTTCTAAAAATGTAACACATTTGACCACAAAAATACCAATTCCCTATACCAAAACCAAAGCTGCTAATGTAAACCCACATAGAACAGAAAAGATTTTACATACTAGTCAAAAGAGAATACACAGTGATTTAAGACTTAAGATTTGTTCACAGTGTACTTGACATTTTAAAGAAAAATTAATATATTCTTATATAAATCTGAAGCAATGCTAAGGAACCCTGCTGTCAAGGTACACTAATATTATAGTAGTTTCTTTTGTAGCAATGAAAATGCAATTTGCCTTTAAAATAATAAAAGCATGCACAATGCACATGTAGACCCTAAGTAGTTTCAAGATTTCCCCAGAAATGTATCTAAGAAATTTTACTGTATCCTTAACTGAGAGTAGGACCAGAAGTAATGACAATCAAACTTCTATAATCTGGCATGTCAATTTGGCCTCCTGAAAAAATATTCTGAATAGCGAAAATGCAATCTTTGAAGCAGAAACACAACCTAAAAATACAGAATGTCAATCATTTACATAATACATCCTAATGAGAGACATCTGTTTTTTTTTTTAAATATCACTTCCAATTGGAAAACAATCAACACTCCTGCTTTACATCCTGGTTTGTATTTAACAAAACCCACCGCCCAACTTTTAAAAAAATTTGGAAATCACTGAATTGCAGAAACAGAGAATGCTCTTTACCTATAACCAACTTCACCGCCACTATAACTGTCCTGTATGAAATTCATCATCCATTCTTCCCGCTGAACATCAGGAGGCGGCTTACTTCTGTTGAACTTAATCACTTTGCCTATATAACAACATACATATATAAAATTTTAACATAAAGCTATTAAAATTCCACACTTTTTAATAACTGAGCGTCTTGTTACAGTACAGATTTTTACTGAATGTAACTTACAGATATAAATCACCATGAAATAAGCCAGAACAGTAGTTTCCACTGCAATGAAGACACACAGATAATTCACTGGCTTTAAGAATTCACTGATATTGCACTGTTGCCTGAAATCTTTGTAAAGATGACTGAAGGCCGTACTTAAAGCCAACAATACAGTATTCCCTGAGACAAACAACATGAAGAAAGAAATTACAGTGATCAAAAAACACACAAGAATATATTTCATGGCATCTAAGTAAGAACCCATCCCATGTGTCGACATACCATAATGTAATCATGAATTCAACTAGCCTCTATTGTAATGGCACCTTCATGAGGGGGGATGGCAGGTATCACTATTAGATGGAGCTAGGACAACTATCAAACAGTGAACATATGCATACAGTAACTTTGTTTTTGAAGAAACATCATTAAAAACTAATTTTTCTTTGAAATTCTTGCCACATGAATGAAAATTCCAGATGCTTGGATATTGCATAACTGGGAGTTTACTGTATTTGGATCAATGTTATGTCCTTTCACATTACCTTTTTCAACCCACATACGTTGCCCTTTCTAAAGGCACCCTTCTGCCTGATAAGGGTTCTTTCCTATTCTTTTTATTCCAACTCAGACTTTGCCTCCAGCGCCAGCTGGAGTCTCATCTGCCCTTCCATTTGCCTATGCTTTCCTTGAAGTCCTCCCACCCATGCTTGGATTCTTCTTTGTGCTCTAACTTCCACCCTTGCTATTCTCATCTACCTACACCACCCACTGGACCCTCATGCTTCATTCTCTGCTCTCTCTTTTGCAACAAGAAACAGCCCCTTTGGTTTACTGAGGGTTCCTACCCAGCCTATACACATACAAATCTTCCATTCTCAGTTTACTCTTCAGCCCTAAGATGGACACATTAGATTCCACCAAAACATCGGTGAACTCCTAGAAGACTACACGGAATGACATCCCAGATGACAGTACTTTGCAAAGTCTCCACCATGAGAACCCCAAATCTCACAATGATACAACAAGATCAGTGACAACTGTGCAAAGTGTTCAAGCCAAAGATGTGAAATTAATTTCAATAATTTTAAGTATTCATAATAGAAACTAGTGATCTCCCAGTTTTATAACAAGTGTGTAATATTTACTACAACTCAGGCAGAATGTGTCTGTCATTAGTACCAACCCCTGTGCTTATCATAAAAGTCCAAAATAAAAATGGCACATTTTGAATTTTTAATTCAAAATTAAGGAGAGCTTCTGCAGAACAGTATGAAATTAAATGGAATGTCGCCCTGACACATGGCTGGTTACAGGGTAAGGAATATAAATTCTGAAGATTGAAATTGTAATTTTCTGGGTTAAGACACCCTGCAGTTGGGTACCAAAGTTTCAAAGGGACATACTGTCTTCATCTTCAGGGGTGACGAAAGCGGCAATATGTTCCTCCAAAACATTAGTACATACCTCATGGTATCGTGGAAAAGAAAAATCAGTATGAAATATATTGTTAGTTGTTTATAAACGTACTTACACAAAGAAACAATATAAAATGGAATTCGACTATGCTGGTGTGTATGCTGATAAAATTCAAGATAGCCATTTACTCTTAATGCATGATGCTTCTGTCTGATGTGATTGTCCACAATCTGAAAATATATGACAACACTCACAAATGGAGAAAAGATAAATAAAATTATATTAAGTTTCGGGATAATTTTAGAGTTGTATCACAAACATGGTTCTCTTTTTATTTATATTGTGGTCTCTAGGGCAAAAGCACTGTGTACTCTGGTAGAAGGATACTGGCTTTCTGGAAGAACATACTACCTCCACCTCAATCGCAACAATCTGAAGCACTTTACCACCTACAAAGCCACACAGTAACATGGATTTTTTTTTTTAATTCATTTAGTGGGGGGTGCAGTCCAACGGTCCACTCAGCACGGCAGCCACTGATTGACCTATCATTACATCAATTATTACATCATATATAGGGTTAAAAATTTCAGTAAAATTATCGTTCAGTTGTATATTTTGTTTGCTGACTTCATACATATGAAATCTTTCGTAAGTATCCAGTGTTCGTCCTTTCTTGCCGATATATAAAATATTTCCAAAGTTTTGTCCATCGTGCTATATTCGTGTGTGGTGTCTATTGTATGTTGAGCAAATCTGGAGTTTAGTCCATTATTTTTTATGTCTCTTATGTGTTCTCCGAATCTGATTTTAAAGGTACGTCCTGTCTGTCCTATTCAATGGACAGTGTGCAATTCTAGCTGAGGTATTTATACAATATTTTGAACATACAACAATCATGGACATCTTGAAAAAATTCCAAATAATAAATTATTACAGATATGTCAATGATATTTTAATCATCTATAATTCCCATATAACTAACACTGATAATACTTTGAATGAATTTAATAATATACACCGTAATAACAAGTTCACAATGGAAAAAGAAATAAATAATAAAATTAACTTTTTAGATCTATCCATCGAGAAAACACAATAATCTACTAATTCGCATAGTGGGGGGTGGGGTCCAGTTGGGTTCACTCAGCACGGCGGCCACTGATTGGCCTATTGTACCTGCCCCGGGTGAGTATGATGAAGAAGAATTTGGTGGAATGAAGATTGGCAGGGGAAACTGAAGTACTTGGAGAAAACCCACCCCAGCGCCACTTTGTCCACCACAAATCCCACTTGACCAGACCCAGGTTTGAACCTGGGCCCCTGTGGTGGGAAACCAGTGACTAACCGCTTGAGCTTTGGTGCGGCCAATCTGCAACTTGGAATCTATATGAAACCTACAGTTAGTATGTGATTACTCACAACGATTCATGTCACCCATATGAACATAAAAAAGCTGCTATGAACTTTCTCATTAATCGACTGAATCAATATCCCCTTTCGCATAACAACAAAAACAGAAGAAAACATTGGTAGAACTATATCAAATAATAATAACTACAAAAAAAACACCATACACTAATAAGAAAACCATGCAAAAAAAAATGGACCACCTTTAACTTTTTTGGTCATGAAATCAGAACTATTACCAAATTATTTACAAATACTGAAGTTGGTATTTTATATAGGACAACAAAGAAAAAAACAATATTAAATACCTTTTAAAAATAAATTAAAACAAGAACGATAAGTACAACCTTAGCGGAGTTTACAAACTACAATGTGCTCACTGTTCAATGAAATACATAGGACAAACAGGGCATGCCTTTAAAATCAGATTCAGAGAACAAATAAGAGACATAAAAAGTAATGGACCTCTCCCTCTCTTGCACCAACTCGACAAATAACATACATCACCAAATCAGTAGTCAATCACAATAAATTTAACAGCTATTATTGTCGCATAATTTCCAGATTAATGTCAAATAATACTACATCTATACAACGGGCCTCCAAGCAGTTTACTATATGTCTACAAGTCTAGAATATACCATTATGTCCGCAGGAATATAACAAGATTGCAACACTGACTTCATGATATGTATGAGTAATATCATATGAAGAGTTTTTAACCATATTTTACTCGATAACTTTAGTTATTTTTATACCATGTGCTTGGACTGCACCATAGCTGAAGCGGTTAGTCGCTGGCTTTCCACCGTGGCAGCCCGGGTTCGATCCCAGGTCTGGCCAAGCGGGATTTGTGGTGGACAAAGTGGTGCTGGGGCAGGTTTTCTCCGAGTACTTCGGTTTCCCCTGCCAATCTTATTTCCGCCAATTGCTCCACAATCACCATCACCTATCATCAGGGACTGGTACAGTAGGCCAGAAGTGGCCGCAGTACAAGGGACTTAGTCCCACCCCACTAGCAATAAGAAAAATATATACCATGTATTTTGTAATGTAACAGTTATCAAGTGCCCAGCTTTACTGTCACAATTGCAGTTCAATAATGTGTGAATACAGTAATCATGTGTTTGCCTGATGATGGCTTTAAAAGCCGAAACATGTAGCTAAGGTAATTTTAACCTTGACCATTATGTTGTTGTGTTATGACGGACTCAAATAAAGAATTGTATATAATAACACAACAGGATGCACTGGGGGGGGGGCTATTCATAGATTTCAAGAAAGCCTATGATTCACTTAGAAGGGAAGTATTGTACAACATTTCCATAGAGTTTGGGGTTCCCATGAAACTATTTAGGCTGACTGATATGTGTTTCAACAAAACACACAGTAAAGTCTGTACAGGTAAATATTTGTCTGATAATTTTCCTATCCAGAATGGTCTAAAATAAGGAGACTTTTATTACCACTGCTTTTCAACTTTGCTTCAGATTAAGCCATTAGGAAGGTCCAGGAAAACCATGTGGGGCTAAAATTAAATGGGACACATCAGCTCCTGGTCTGTGCTGATAATGTGGATCTACTGGGTGATAACATAGATACTCTAAAGAAAAACAGCGAAACCTTTCTTGACGCTAGCAAGGAAGGAGATCTAGAAGTAAACACTTAAAAAACTAAGTACAAGTTGCTACTTATCACCAGGATGCAGGGCAAAATCATGACATAAAGGAAGCTAGCAGATGTTCTGAAAATGTGGAACAGTTCATATATTTTCAAATGACATCAACAAATCAAATCTTTATTCAAGAGGAAATTAAGAGGAGACTGAATTTACGTAATGCTTCCTACTATTCAGTTCAGAACTTTTTGTCTTCTTGTCTGCTGTCTAAAAACATAAAACTTATAACATACAAAACTATACTTTTGCCTGTGGTTCTGTATGGATGTGAAACTTGGTAACATTAAGGAACACAGACTGAGGGTGTTCGAGAACAGGGTGTTGATGAAAATATTTGGACTGAAGAGAGATGAAGTAACAGGAGGTTGGCGAAAACTGCATAATGAGGAGCTTCATAACTTGTGCTCTTCTCCAAGTATAATCTGAATGATCAAGTCAAGGAGGATGACAAGGGCAGGGCATGCAGCACGAATATTGATAACAGGAATGCGTATAGGATATTGGTGGGAAAGCCATAAGAAAAGAAACCACTAGGAAGACCAAGATGTAGGTGGGTGGACAATATTAAAATGGATCTTAGAGAGACAGGATGGGGTGGTATGGACCCAATCAATCTGGCCCAGGATAGGGACAAGTGGAGGGCTCTTGTGAGTATGGTAATGAACCTTCAGCTTCAATAAATATCTGGAAAGTTCTTGAGTTGCTGCACAACTGGCGGCTTCTCAAGAAGAGCTCAGATCCATGAGCAGTTCACTCTTAACACTTTCACTTACTAATGGCATTCTTTTTTCATAATACTGATTCACTCTTACGCAGTAGTTTTATGAATTTAAACAAGTATAAAAGACCTCAATTCTGTCATTTAGCTTTATTAATGGTCTCATTTATAGTTACCAATTTCCATCATCATTTCTAAAGCCACTCAGTAGCTCAGGTTCTGCAGTATCAAATAGGTGGATGATTAATAAATGAAATGTTGAAAATGATGTAGAAGGAAATGGTCATGATCTCTTTCACAGTACCATCCTGGCATCTAAAAAAATGTTTTTTCTTTAAATTCACTAGTGGGGGGTGGAGTCCAGCTGGGTCACTCGGTTGTACCTGCCCCAGGTGATTATAATGATAGAGAATTTTGTGGAATGAAGATTGGCAGGGGAAACTGAAGTACTCGGAGAAAACCTGCCCCAGTGCCAATTTGTCCACCACAAATCCAACTTGACCAGACCCAGGATCAAACCCGGGCCACTGTGGTGGGAAGCCAGCAACTAACCGCTTGAGCTATGGCACGGCCACCATCCTGGCATGTAACTGAAAGGGCTCATGAAAAGCATGAAAAAGCTCACTTGGAATAATCAGAGTCTTGGCTGAGATTTGAACATGATTCTTCCCATATCCAAGTCAGATGCACTGCTGCCTGAGCTAACATGTCCGGTTTCTTTTACTAGTCACATAGTTTACTTCAAAACCGTTCATTAACTTCAGCCTTAACAATGTTAGAATAAATCCAGTAGCCACTATTTCCTTTTCATACAATTTACATTAAATTCAACTATCAGAGCCTAAGCTTCAATAGCAAAACAAACAAGAACCTTAGTTCACTCCAATTTATATTATCACCAGCTATTTCTTTTCATAGTTTTCCTCAGTCCCTCCAGGTTTCCTTCCCAGTCATTTCCAATTCATCATTCATTTATCAACCCATTTTAGTCCTGATACTGATAGCATCATAAAATAACCCACTGTAACTGATCATCCCTTTCCTTGTCATATATATATATATATGTGTGTGTGTGTGTGTGTGTGTGTATGTGTGCCTTAATTTGCTTACATTTTTATATTCACGTTGTATCGTAATTAATCAGGACTCTAACAAGTGCATGTCAAGATAGACCCTACCAAGAGAACTGTGTTACATGATGCAACACCTCACAAAGTCAAAAAGAAAAAAACTCGTGGGGTTGATTTGTTTGTGAAAATATCACATTGCAAGGAACAGTTTCAAAGGAATGCATGATGCAATCCAGTGGCAGTTGTGCGTTATGATTAGAATGATACGCAGTTCTCTACAGCACAAGAGGAGACTGTTTCTGACATCAGACGTGACTGGACACGATATCAAGTAGTCCTCATAGCAAAAAAGTAACAAACTGCAATTATCAGAGAGCAACAAAGGTTCTCAATTTGTAACATTGTGTGTAGTGATGACTGTTAAATAAAGTTAAAATAATGGTCGTGCAGTGGTGTCTGGAACAGTGACCATTCTTCCTGCCTAGCTAGAGTGAGAGGGGAGACATGTTCTGCCGATTGAACAGTTAGCCTAATTATATTATATTGTGACATGTCAAACCGTTGTTGGGCAACAGGATGTGGAATGAATTACCACAAACACAGACTCTTGATAAACGGTCGGTTGCCAAGTTATGCAACAGTAAGGAAAGTGGTGTTGCTCCATGCTGAGCCGAAGCACGCCGGTTGCTACACAGCAATAAACAACTCTTGGCAATGTTGCTAAGCAACACCTCTGTAAACACAGCGTCATGCAACAGTGAAGCAAGCTGAGTTTTCCGCTGTCTGACTGAGGGTTTATAAGAGAGACCTAAGGAGTTAGTTGAAATATAGAAGTCACCAAGTTCAGTTGTATCAAGTGACCTGTGAAGTTATAAGTTTAGTTAGTATTCGGAGTATTCGGGGCGTATTTGGAGTGAGTGCAAGACAGCTGCAGCAAGAAGAAGAATGGAACACATGTTATACTGAAGATAGCATGAAGAGATTATGTGTAGGGTTTGTAAAGTGTAAACCCGCAACAGTGTCATAATTAATTGTAGTTACGACTTGTAAGTGATTAATCCGAACGGAGTCTTCAGTAGCCCCAAAACGTTACATTATAATCATTCCAACCCTAAAGCTAACCAAATGAAACTTGGTCATAATATGAATGGTGAGTGATATGACCTCGACACACATTTCAGAAGGGGAAGAGTGACAACAGCCCTCACCATCTCCTTCTCTACTTCTTTGTTCTTTGACACAACTTTATTATAATAACGGTCTGTTAATGCCAAATTCAACTCCACACACTGTCCACATTCCCTTTGAAGCACATCTGCAACTATATTTCATATCTGGAATTGTAAGGATGTGTCATGTTATGATGACAAGGTACTCACTTAGCATGTCAAAGTTATGATCAACTAACAAAAAGTAAGCTACATTTCAAACTGTTTTATTAAAAATCATTAGAGTGGATGTGGACTTTAAGTTTTCCCTCATTTTAACATCCAATTTTGATGACCCCAAGCCATGAACCTCAGTATTAAATTTCCTCCATTTAAAATTTTCTTGAGTTTAGTGTTCATATTTATTGGTCCCCAAAGAAACCTTAAATGATGGTTTCTTTACATCATTCAGCACAGACTATTTTGAACTATAAGACTATAAATAAACAGATAGAATGCATGACAAGCTCACCAGTGCGACACACCAAAACGCTGCGTGGATGTACAGAATAATAAAATATGGTGCACATCGCTCCATGTTTTCTGGCCATACAACAGCAAGTACAATGGCTGTAGCTAGCATAGTAACCTTCAAACAAGGAAAGCAGAGAAAAAACATGCAAAATCTTAGGTGGAGAGTACTGTCTTCTGTGATGTGACACCATGCAGTCTGGTAGAAGTTCACAAATGTTTCGGAGGAATGTGTCACTGCCTCCACTTGCTAGGTCAAAGAGTAAGCCAAGCAAACAACCAGCAAGCAGTTCTTCCGAAAGAGTGGTGAATTTTCTACTGGACTACACAGCATGACATCCCAAAATGTACTCTTTGTAGTCATTGCCATGAGAATCTCAACTCCAACAAAATATCAAGCATTTGCCTCAATCGTTCAATTACTTGCAGATTCATGGCAGCACATTCATCCATAATACGTTGCCACACGTGTTCCAGTGTTGGTGCAGCAACCTGGTACACAATGACCTTTACAGTTCCCCTCAAAAAAATCCAGTGGTGTGAGATCAGGAGAATGAGGTCAAGTTTCACAAGTAACTGAATAATTAAGGCAGTCATTCATCTGTATTAACTTTAATGGTCAACTCTTCAAGCACCATTAGTAAATCCTTTTGTTGGCTCAAAAGGCTAAGGTATTCATTCAGGTTAATTTGTTGCACATTGTTGCGTTCTGTTATAACCAGAATGGTACTTTATAGTAATTGTTTTGAATCTGTCAAAAAAAAATAAAGCACAATCTTAAAAAGTGATTAAAAAGTAACATTGATTTCAGTAACAACAATTATATAAACAAATTGTATACAGTATCATATGCCCATTTTATTGGGGGATTTTTTTTTTCCTTGGCACTACAGCCCCAGTGGGCCTAGGCCCACCTCCACGAACTCCGTTCACTTCAGTTCCTCTAGATCTAACACATACGGTAGGACTCCTTGGGCGAGTGATCAGCTCATCGCAAGGCCTCTACCTGTAGACAAACACAGAAAAACGCGCACAAACATTAATGCCCTCAGTGGGATTCGAACCCACGATCCCGGCTTCCGAGCAAGCGAAGACAGTGCATGCCTTAGACCGCTCGGCTACCGTGATCAGCATTAGGGAATATACCCCTTAGTGTTTATGACGGCATGTAGTTTCAGCATGACAGCACCCCTCTCCATTTCTTACACCGAATACATAATTGCTTGGACTATTTTCTTGTCACATGGACTGACCATCAAGTTCCAATCATCAACAATATTTTTTATGAGGACACAACAAATACAAATCTGTATGCCGTAGAAGTACAAGATCACAATAATCTAATCAATCACATCGTGTCAGCTGTGACTGACTGCAGGGACTCACTGAATATTGTTGTAAATCATGCATAGGAGTTGGTGGAGGTAACTTTGAGCAATTCTTGTGAACAAATATGAAGAACAGTGTGCGAGTCCCCCTGCATGATCTGACATTTATGACAAACATAACATAAAATTCAAACTGAAACGGGTAATACCTTCAAAGTTTTTGGTTTTCATTCACTTAATTTGAAAGGAATAAAAAGCGATATCAAACATATATGAGCAAATGTATACATTAATGGAAAAAATGAACAATTACTTCAGTTTCTTAAAAGGTGGAGAAATGTAAGTGAACAAGACTGATGAACTGAATGACAATTTATTTACCTTTTCTGCTCCAAACAATCTCCCCACCACATGCTAAGGTTTGGCATAGGGCTTCAAGTCACTCTGTACAACTGTCACATGCCGAGCTGATTCAGTAGTATGTCCAGATAGACATTCTTGCATACAGTGGGAAACAACAACCTGTTTTATAGTTTAATTCAAATTTTTATAGCTACCTGCAAACCAATATTAACTTACACACAGGAAGAGTTCTACTGTAACAGCCACCACTGTATTAAGTGGTGTGAATTTCTTTGCCATATCAGTACAAAGAACCGGTTGCAACAACTGGGAATCATCATCATCTCCAGCAGCACTAACACTCAATGAGGCATCACTGAAAAACACTCCTCCCTAGATAAAAGCACATGAAGTAAGTAATCCTTCACATATATCACTCACAAGATATAACTACATAAACATCTACAATAACAATGCATATTCACTACTACAAAATGATTCACTTATGAAAGTGGTACGGGCACAGTCAGAACTGATATGATTTCCTCTGTTTATTACAAATTTATTTTAAGTTGTATTTTTGTCTCTTCATGTGCGCACATAAGTGAATAAATACAATCACAGATAAGCCAGGATATGAATAATCTCTGACCCAGTTTGACAAGGATAATGATAAAGGACAGAAATGGATTTACCAAATTTTCTTACTATTTAAAATGAATATTCATATATGATTCAAACTCTGTAAAGAAAATGGTATTATCACCATAAGAACGAAAATGCTTTCCTCTGTTTAGTACAGATTTATTTGAAGTAGTAGTTGTGTCTCGGGAGCCAGGATAGCGTAGTCAATATAGCAACTGGCTACGGGCTGCATGACCAGGAGGTCAGACTTCAAGTCCCGGTAAGGTCAAACATTTTCCCTTCTCCACGTCATCCAGACTGGCTCTGAGGTCAACCCAACCTACTATCCAATGAGTACCAGGGGGCCCTTTCATGGGGGTAAAGTGGCCAAGGAGTGAAGGTGACCAATCACCTCCAACTAGCGCCAAGGTCAAGAAAATGTGGAACTATACATCCACTCTGTCATTCGCCTTCATGGCATAATGCTTAATTAGTTAAGCACAAGGACTATTTTACCTTTTTTTACCCTTGGTAGTTTTGTCCCTTAATGTATGAACATTACTTTCCAAAATGAAATCTAAGAATAGCCAGATATGAGTTGAGTCAACATTATACATTTATCCAAATACTGAATGAGCATAGCCAATGGTGGAAAAACTGAGTATGTAACAAATTCTTAAAGAAGTATGGAAATTGTTATAAATTCTAAGCTAGTAGAATTTATTTAGATAATAATGAAAGTTTAAGAATGACTGTTGATGCATCAGAAACACCAACACTCAAATCTGGTACTGGCATAAAATAAGTCACACATATTACACCAAGTAACATGGTTGGTTTCATTACATATAAACTGAGCAGTATGTACATAGGTCATACCGAAAGTCATGAACAACATTTTTTTGCATGCAACCTGGGAACAGCAGACGAAAGAGAGTATGGTGGTAGGTGTAACCAGCTGTTGTGTTAACCTTGAGTGTCCTGTGACGTCAATAGCTTGCATCACGTGACCAGTATCACTCCTAACAAAATGGCCGACAACCATATGTCGTTTTGTCAGCGTGCTGCCATCGAATTTCTTGTGAAAGAGAAAATCCCTGCTGCAGAAATTCACCAGAGACTTCAGCGTGCTTATGGAAGTGTGTGCATGGGTGCAAGCAGTGTCTGAAGGTAGGTGAAACATTTTAAAGATGGGAACACCAGCATCGAGCCTCGGAGCAGTTGTCCTCGAACAGCCGCAACTGAACGCAATAAGGTAAGAGTGGATGAGATCATTCAAGATGACAGGCATGTAACTGTGGACACAATTGCCCAAAAACTTGGAATAGGGCACAGTGGAGTACAGGAGATGATTGAAAGCTTGGGCTATAGGAAAGTTTGTGCTCGTTGGGTCCCGCGGTTATTGACCGAAGACCACAAAGGTCAGCGAAAAGCCATCACCTCAGAACTGCTGCAGAGATATCGACATGAAGGCAATGATTTTTGCTCTGTATTGTGACAGGTGACAAAAGCTGGTTTCACCATTTCAAGCCTGAAACGAAATGGCAGAGTATGGAATGGCACCATTTGCATTCTCCATCAAAAAAGAAGCCAAAGACAGTGCCATCAGCTGTGAAGGTGATGGGCACAGTCTTCTGGGATGCAGAGAGGTTTATTCTGGCCGAATTCTTGGAACTTGGGCAAACCATCAATGCTGCTCATTATGTCCAGACGCTGCACAAGCTCCATTGTGCATTGTGCGATAAACGTCCAGGACAAAACATCATCATCCTGCATGACAACGCTCGCCCCCACGCTGCTCGCCTCACATTGGAAGCAATTGCAAAGATGGGGTGGGAAGTTCTTCCACACCCCTCCTATAGCCCTGATCTGGCACCCTCTGGCTACCATCTTTTTGGATTTGGGAAGGATCAGCTGCGTGGACGTTTTGAGACAAGGAAGGCAATTCAGAAATCAGTGCATCAGTGTCTTCGGATGGCTGGAACAGAATTTTACAGAAGGGGAATTTTCAAACTCCCAGAATGCTGGGAGAAATGTGTATAAAGAAGTGGCGATTATGTGGAAAAATAAGGAAATGTCTGTAGATTGAGGTGGTGTATTTGGTTTGTCAATAATAAAGCATGTTACTTTACAAAAAATTGTTGCTCATGACTTTCAGTATGACCTTTGTAATATTTGTATGTAGCAAATAAACATAATATTCTATGTAAAAAGAATATTAAACCAGGCTCATAACTTAACATTAACATCAAGCTACAATCTGCACCATTTACTGCAAATAAAAACTGAACAACTGGATTTTTTCAATTGACCTAATCTTCCTGCTGTACTATGGCCCTGGGGTCCACTCAGCTCTAACAGAAATGAGTACAAGGAATATTCTTGGGGGTAAAGGGCTGACAATCTTGCCGCCATCTATGAACCAGTTGTTTAGAAAATGTGGGTAACCGCAACATCTCACAACCCTATGGGCCTCCACAGCCTGTTGCAGAGATACCTTTACTTTCACTTCATTTTAAATGTACCAATGTGGTCCATCCTCTTCACAGCTCATGTCACTATGTCCTACCTTGCTCATTTGGCTGTGACCTTGCCCTATCCTAAGAAACTCGATAACTTGTACACTTAGCCATTCATTAAGTGCAAGAGTAGTAGAAACACCTCCTCATCCTAAGTAAACATCACAATTTCCCAGCACGTTCTGGTAAGACATGCAATTGTAAAAATAATCAATTAAACTCAAAGCTTTCGTACTGGGCTCTAATAATTGTGTAGTCTTAAAATGTTTACATTTAAATGTTAAATTTTAACCTGGAGTTGGATCGTTACTTAACCTAAACACGGAAGGCCTGTACTCTTTCAAACTGACGAACTAATACCACACATAAATCTGTACCTGGTCAAGTTTGGTAGTTAAATATTTTAGCGCAGACCTTAGAAACACTTCCTATACTGAAATATAATTGCAAAAATCATAAATAAAAAATTATTTACCCCACTTGATGTATTATAGTTCCTACTAAGGCTAACCATAATGCTAAAGTAATAACGCTGATAAATATATAAATCACTCCTCCATCTTATTCGCAGCTATCTTTATTGATATTTCACAGTCACATCACAACTAACATATACTTTTTCAAATACATTGTCATCTCATTGATCACGTACAAACAAACGCTAATAAATTTACTGATCAAAACGTAACTCAATCGAGAAGTCGAATATGTGTATCGGCAGCACGGATTACTAACAGAATTACTGGGTTTTTGGACTTTTCCCATCGTCCGGAATTCTAGGTAATAGAGGACACGACGTTTCGGAAACTGGATCTGTTTCAGTCTTTAGGTGAGAAATTAAGACACCTACTCGGTTGGGCAACTTAGAAAGAACTAATCTCAGTCACTGGAGTTTTTTCTAAAGGGCCCAACTGAGTAGGTGTCTTACTTTCTCACCTGAAGACGGAAACAAATTCAGTTTCCGAAACGTCGTGTCCTCTATTACCTAGAATTCCAGACGATGGAGAAAGTCCAAAAACCTTCCGTGAACCATCCACCATTGTCAAAACCCTTCACAATCTAGGGATCCTACGGATTACTAAGTTTCCCTGTACAATGCCCACATGGATTACTAAACGCAGAACACAGACACAGATGAGCCAGATGAGCAATACAAACGGCATCACAACGAAACTTCTCAGGCCTACGGAACAAGTAGTGTATTTCATTTTGGAGGAACCTTCTGCCTCCATATATATTCTGGATATAGCACGTACCCCGAAACTATACAGCGTTTCATCCTGTAAACTTATGGCCGTTGTCCCATTGGCGAAACCGATCACATGCATCAATAATCTGAAACCAGTTGCAATTGATGCTCGCACACCACTGGGACGGATTAACTAGTAGGAATTCACCAGCGTTTTGGAAGAATGTACTGTCACAATAACCAGGGTCGAGGAGTAAGCCAAGCAAGCAGCAGAGAAAAAGACCTAGGCTTATTCATCAAACCTGAAGATGGAGGCAATATGTTCTTCCGAAACGCTGGTGGGCACCTATTGGACTAACCGTATCACTGGAAAGAGGACCTTACACGATCAATAATAATGTCATTACCTTATGAGAATGACATTCATAATGATTGTGTAAGGTTCATGGAACTGGAATGATGGTCAGTAATAATGAGAATCCGGATTTTCTGATTTCGAGTCATCATTACTGCCGCGTGGTCTGGATACTGTCATTAGCAATGACCGTGTAGAGTGCGCGCGTCATTGCTTCTTCATTATTCAGTTCGCTTTGTGGAGTCAGCGTGGCAATAACTAGACATGGACAAAGAAAGTAAGGTCTCCGTCACTGAATCTCCTACAAGTGAGGTGAATGCAGAAGAGGGCGAAGTTCTTTGAAATTTCATAGAGACATTTGAAACCTTGCCGGAACTGTGGAACCCCCATTAAGCCAATGTACTAATAAGACAAAAAGGAGTATAGCCTTGGACAAACTGCTGAATATATACGTTAAAATAAAACCAGGGGCTAGCCGCTCTGATGTTAGACGAAAAATCAACACGCTTCGCTGTAACTACAGGAGAGAAAGAAAATTGTCATCGAAGAGATGGGGAAGTAGTACGGATGAAGTGTATCAGCCTACTTCCTGGCTATTTTACGCCCTCCCGTTTCTCGACAAATCTGAGCAACCAGCCAATGCCAATGTACAACGGGTAGACGAGGTATTTCTTTATTGCTAGTAGGATGGGACTAAGTCCCTTGCACTGTGGCCACTTCTGGCCTATTGTACCAGCCCCAGATGATAGGTGAGGGTGATTGTGGAGCAATTGGTGGCATGAAGATTGGCAGGGGAAACCGAAGTACTCGGAGAAAACCTGCCCCAGCGCCACTTTGTCCACCACAAATCCCACTTGACCAGACCCGGGATCGAACCCGGGCTGCCGCGGTGGGAAGCCAGCGACTAACCGCTTGAGCTATGGCGCGGCCTTGACGAGGTCAGTACATACATATATAAATTTTATCAATAATAATTTTATATACAGGACCATCAAAATTTTAATTGGTGCCAAAAATTGTTTTAAAGATGGACAAGCGGCCTTACAGTATACTTCTTAAAAAGAGAAGGAAGAAACTAGGCAATGCAGGGTCCTTTAAGCTACGTGGAGAGGCAACCGATTTTATTACGAAATACAAAGACTTTATGGCAAAAAATAAATTGTACATCTATAATTACAATACGCGAAGAAAACTAAATTTACATGTAAACCATTGCAATACAGTTCTTTAGAAAAAAACGTGATAAATATGGGAGCAACTACTGTTGCTAGTATCTAGTGAGTAGGAAGAAGCAGGACAAGCACACTCTTGTTTTATAGCAGTCGCAGAAGAACGGTAGCGTCCAGGGGTCCAGGTGATAGATCAGAGGGCGATTTGGATCAGGTGAGAGATCAGAATCGAACTGTTGTGGAGAGCAGACGCATGATAGGATATCAGGACGATTTTGTGAGGGGAGAGCTTGAGAGACAGGACTGAATGCCGACTGAAGATTGTCTGTTTGACATCATCAAAGCGACACTTCATCTCCAGTTTCGGGGTTGGAGCGATAATCGTTAGTGTGCTGTAGGATGGAGCAGATCGACTGGAAGTCAAGTGGTTATTAGCAGTGTATCATTGAGATCGGACAGGACTGGTTTGAAAAAGGAGAGATTGGTTGACCCAGTGAGAGGATTCTTCAATTCATTCTTAGTAAAGTCAGGAGAACAGCTACGTGTTAGGAGGTCGGGTTGATCATTGAGCAACATTGCTTGTGGTTTCAGTGCAGGCAGTGAGTTGTGTCTTTCTGTCTTCTTATACGTCAATACTCGGCTGGGTTGTTGAATCTGTAAGTGCCGAGCCAGGGATGGCTGGCGTCCCTGTGCCGGGGTACCAGGCATTCTGGGCCGACAAACGTGTCGCTCTACAGGCCGAATTTGAAGAAATTATTAAGCAATTCCCCGATGCCGAAACACAATACAGGCGCTTATTCGACATCCTGTGCAGCATTGAGGACGTGGCCGGCTTCACAACTGCTGCGATTGGAGAAAGTGGAGAATGGGCGGCAATAGTCAGCGCCGCCGACGACAATAGGATAAATTACTGTAAGGCCATCTACGGCAAGACGCTGTTCAGTGCGCTCTACGGGAACTATACAGTCACGTTAAATGAGATGAAGTCACTGGTAAAGGCCAGCGCATCAGGCACAATTAATCCAGCTCGGGAGGAAGGCTTCAAAGAAGCCCGGAGGCGGAAACGACAAAGTACCGCTGAAACCGCACCGACTCCAAAAAAAATCAACGGCAGCCGTCGGAAGCAACCCCAAAACAGAGGTTGCCACCAAAAACTACTTCGCCCCCCTCAGGGAGGCAACGATGGAAACGGACACTTCTGGTGCAGAAACCACTACGCTGGAGGAGGGAACCTCAGGTAAGGGAGGCAGCCCCCCCCCCAATAATTCTGACATCCACAGTGAACCTCGTTCACTTGCAAAAGCAACTTAAAAATGTGGTCAAAGGTGACTTTGAGTTCCGTAATACCAAAAGCGGGACCAGAGTCATCTCTAAAAGCATAGCGGATTTCGAAGCCGTCAAGACTCACCTATCCCAAAATAAACTTTCCTATTATACCTTTTTTCCTAAGTCAGAAAACCCCACTAAGGCTGTAATCCGGCACCTCCCTCTCAATACCCCGACGGAGGATATTTCTGATGGATTGGTGACCCTGGGATTTGAAGTGGTTAGCGTCAAACAGATGACAACCACCCGAGGGTCGCCTTCAGAAGAAAGGATAACCAAAAACCTTCCCCTCTTCCTTATTACCCTACCCAGGATGGCAAAATCACAAGAAATCTTCAGACTACAAAGCCTTTGCCACATTGTAACCGCTCTTCGAAGGGCCCTTTTCGTTGGGCGCCACTCCTTCTAACCGTCTAGTGCGTTAAGGCCCCTTTCGTTGGGCGTCACTCCTTCTTACCGTCCTTCTCCGGCAGTCCTCTGAAGAGCCCTTGGGTTGCTGGTTGCATCTGCTCCTCTAGCCGTTCCCTCTCACCTGTTGTTACTTCGAGTTGGCAGGTTGCTGCTGCGTCCTTCCTATCCAGTTCTGTTTCCCTTTTTGTTGTTCTGGTGGATAATAGTTTGCGGGGTATGGGTTATCGGAGTGCTGGGCGCCAGTAAGCTTACTGTAACGGCTTACATTTCGGGGAAAAGGGGGGATGAACTGGAAACTACAGGTGCTAGGTGCCGCATTCTCACTGGAGCGACGAGATTCGGTTTCAGGGTGAATACGGCCTCGCGTCAGCGGGAAAGAGAAGAGTGTTTTAGGTAGGCACTAACACACACTGTTTAATTAACCAATCTTGCTACACACGTACATGTATCAGCACTTGTTGCACTTCCTTAAAACACATGGAAATCTCTCCAACGTTGGCGACCGGATCCCTGGCTAGTTAGTTAGCGGCTGTTTCTTTTAGCAGAACCCCTAGAATTGCACTTTCACTTATACTTTTTGCACAAAGAAAATTTCACGTTAAATTTAGAAGAGTTATCCAGAGATTGTTCCTGCAAACACTTAAACATAATTTCGGCTGTACACTTGGAGGGTTGTTCAGAGACTCTTCTCGCAGACTGACCCTGCTTCGAAGCAAGAAATCTTCGCGGCTTCAGCTCCGCCTCCAAGTTACTACCCTAATTTCTGCTGATTGGAACAATTCGAATTTAGGGAGTTAACCATAATTCTCACTGCTCCAATCACATAACTTTAATTTGGGACTTTGGACCTTAAAGTCCTAACGTCGTTTTAGACAGCTGCCTGAAAAATTATACCAGTAGCGTGGGTTGCTGGCCTTCCCACTTTTGACTTATGGGGTTCAAAACTTGTCAAGTGTAACTTTACCAAAGGATCCCGCCGGTCAACTTACTAACTGAATTTCCAGGAAAACTCTGCGGGGTGCTTCCTGTCTGGTCTTTGTAGCAGTGAAGCAGGCCCTATTCTTGAAACCAAGAATCGGGCTAAGTCACCCTTGAGTGTTCCTTGCTACATCTTGTGTATAATTACTCTAAAAAGAAATATTGATTACAAATAAAGATGGCGGTGTCAGTTGTACGGCTACAACATTTCCATCCGGGTTGAGGCATAGAGTGGCCTTACGCAGTGTCACAACTGCCAACAATTTGGCCACGCCTGGACTAATTGTAAACAACCTTCCCGTTGCATGTGGTGCGGTGGTGGCCACCTTCA